CTGCCATTGCTAGTCCTGTGAATAATCGTTATAATATATACCTTCTCATCCAAACTCAGAAAGCCAAGGGCAAATCCACTACATTCAATCTTACTGACTGCAGACAGCATTAAAGGGGTGAACGAAACATGGATGACACTGCTGCCCCCTGCAGGAACAATCTGGAAATATAGATACATATATATAGAGAGAGAGAGATTGTGTATTTAATAAGCAGAGCACTAATCACCATGTGTTATTTATGTCATATATTAATACATACAGCACTAAAAATAGCATACGTAATAAATGAGAAATTATCTTTAAAACACCCTTTCCTTTAAGGCCAGTATGATTAGTTACTTCAATTTGCATCCTTTTCTCTTGTTCATACTTCTAAAGTGGTGATAACCAATCAGATCCCACCACAGAGAAAGACAACATAATGGGGAGCAGTAAACAGGAATTTATTAGTAGAAATATTTAAGATGGCTGCCCCCGCTTCCAAACAAACAAGGTGAATTTTTAAGACATACATATTAGTTGTTTTAATCTCTACACTTACATGTTCAGAGTCAATCTGTAAAATATAGCATTTATTAGAGGAATGTTTTTAACTATAGTGAATGCATGAATCAATGACCTTTAAAAATATTTGTATTCATTCTCAATTATTCAAATATGAATCATGTTAATATAAAACCAGTAAAAAGCAAACCGTCTGTCTTGGAGTGATGCAGTATGGGTAATCTGAAGCTATGCCCTCATGCGGTCGTACAATGATAGAAATTAATTTATCAGGAGGTAATTCTTCATCATATTGGTTGCTTTCTTCAACGTCTGTATCTGCCTGCTCCTGAGCTTCATGAAACTGAAAAAGAAATAAGTATAGTGACTACGGGTAAATTCTTTTCAATAACTATGAGATGATCTAAATGAACAAACAGCATGCAGTGCAAATAATCAGATTATTGCTGCAGGGATCTGTATTAAGTCATCGGCAAAAAAAATTTGTATGAAAAAACAATGCGGTAAATCCCAGCAATACTTTGCATTTACTAAGTGTTGTTTTTGAATAGTCTCAATTAAAGAGCTTAAGACCTGTCATTTGCAGATTATATATAGGGTTGTATCAGTTAATGTGGAAATAAATAGGTGGTGATAGACAATAAGACATATTTTTTACTCTTTGTTTTAATATTGTTAGATACGCTTTCCAAATGATTGAATATTTCTGGAAAAACATTTAAAATAATTTTTTACCACATATTAAAATATACAAAAAAGACATCACATTTGGATAAATATATGAATATATCAAAAAATATAAAAATGTTACAACATTTAAATATTTTTCTGAATATTAAATAATTTAAAACAATTTATCAAAAAAAATTAATTGTTTGGGTAGCTTATCCAACAATATTAAATCAAATCTATTGCAAGCATTTGTATAGATCAAGAGTCAGACACCATCTGAAGGGGTTTATCCACTAAAATATAAATTCTTGAGAATTGACCAACATAAATAAATACATTTTAGGACGAAATAGTGGAACTGAAAAAACATTTGGACACATTTTAAATTCCATTTTTCTGGACTACAATGTGACATTTAGGCTGACAAAGCATCCAGGGAATTTTGGGACAAACATTGCTAGCTTTGCTCTTTAGCAGGTCATTCCTTCTCTTACATTGCCATTTTCACTGGAAGCCTGAGACATGGTTCCTGATGTATTTGGAATTTGATCCCAGTTCATGGAAGAATCCTGGCTTTCTGAAAACTCAGATCTGCGGCCGACTATTTCATTCCCATCTATATCCTTCAGTGGAAAAGGATCCCCAAAGAGAACCACGAGGTCTACGAGCTGAGAAGTATCTTGTTCTCTGTTGTAAGTTTCCCAATCTATCCGAATATCTGAACAAAAACCAGAATGATTCATTAAAACCCCCACATGAAGTTTTGTAGAAATGATAAGGCTTCCTGTAAACGGCAGCGGGGTTCCTGCTTACCACATGGACTCGGGTTATTGATCCGCAAGCATCGGGAGATAGTGTCTCCACCAGACATGTGGGTTCCAAATCTAGAAAAGTGAGATGCAGAACATGTTTACAGCCGAAATGTTAAATAACAGATTTTTACATAACCCAATAGCGAGCTAGAAGTGTGCCCGAGGTAGTATTTATTTTTTATTTACACTACATGCCTGGGTTTCCTCGCAGAACCAGAGCAGACCACGAAAATTAATTTAACCCCCACTGTAAACACAAGTGCCAATACAAGTGTTCATCTGTGTGGAAGGCATGTCTGAAAGCACACATGTTTACATGTTACCTGATCAAGGTGGGATCAGTGTAGGGTCTGTTTTTATTAATGTTTGCTGCACTCAGCCCAGAAAACACTGTAATATCATTAACTGCAGTGAGGGAATGAGGATATGTGACAATTTAAACACAAGAGGGTTATGTAATGTACCCAGAGGAGGCCGTGACATTTCCCTTCATTGAACGTTTACACAGCCTCCATGCATACCTTATGATGGGGCCTTCTGTCTGTCTGTCTGCCCTTGGACCTGTCATTTGGAAATAAATAGGACATCCTTTCACGATCATCTTCATTGGTATTTCCTTTGGTGTTAGGTCACCAACCTAAGATCATGAAAGAGGGTCACTGTTTTGTACAATCGTGGGCTTTGAGAAAGAACTCACGTTTCTTTAACCATATTTATCTAGAGCAGACAAGTGCTTATCTAGAGCAAACTGCTAAGTAAGGACCAACCAGCTTGGAAACCAGAACTTTTAGGACTCAGGACTCTTTTCTCTAAATATCTTATCTTTTCTGGCTGCTTGGGTCAACATGCACACTTACCTTGCAGATCAAGTGATCCGTGTACTCTCCCCACAAGTTATTATATGCGGTCACTTCAATGGTCACCTGCTGAAACGCTCCCAACGTACCAGAAATGGGCTGAGGGATAAACGCTGCTCCTTTCCCATCAGATAATACGGACGCCATAAACTCTAAACACGTACAAAGCATTAGTGGGTTTGACTCACTAATACATTTAGAACTTCATTGTAAAGTCTGAATTCTTTGTGCCACATTACGTTTAATACGCATATAGTTACTGTGTTCTTTATTGGGCAGACTAGATGGGCCGAATGGTTCTTATCTGCCGTCACATTCTATGTTTCTATGTTTAATAATTCCAGCAAGTTTTGTAAGCTCAACGTCTGAGACTTAAATTGCAAAGACATATTTTAAAAAAAGAAAAAATATATAAAAGTTTCCCATTCCAACTTGTTTATTTTGTTGAGTATTGTGCAAGTCTCGTTAACTCACCACAAGTCGACATCTAGTGAATAAGTCCTCTAGTGCGCTAGAAAACAATATGGCGGCTTGTACCACATTTAGCCTGATTTATATTTGTAGACGCCGCACACAGCACACTGACTGGTTGGGAATGATTACGTAGTCTATTTATTAATAATTAAAATGTAGTGAACTGAAAATCTAATTACAATATTTTAACTTGTTTTTATTTAACTTAAAAAGTAATTTTGTTTTAATCTGCAGTGATTATGTCTGTCTATAACCTACTAACAGTGAAGGATATGTTACAATATGTTACAAGTAATCTGTATCCAGAAATCATAGAATGTTTAAATATTTGTGTAATAGTTCTAACCAAATTAAAATGTAAAATAAATCCCCTCTACACAAGAGAATCGTCTGCGTGTGAAGTTAAATAAAATGGGGTTTCTGTTTTGCGTCTTCTGTTTGTGGAATATTCCCATTAACACATCAGGTCCCTGTGTTATATCTCATTCAATAAAAAGTGCACAGAGGTTGGTTAACGTTACTCTGGGAGCAGGTTCAGCTATCAGAGTTGGAGTACCTTTCTGGGCCCGGTTAGCTGTCAGTTCTGTATATTGAGCTGTCCGCTGTATGAGAGTCGTGAGAGATCTGAAAGTAAGAAGAATTACTGTCACTGTATGTGTTAGATAATATTTACATACATCATGTACTCACCATCTCATTAAAGGGTTACTCCAACCTCCATGACCACTTCTGTTTTTAGAGATGGTCATGGCGGTAGGAATCTGAATGTGCAACGTTTCTGCTTGAAATGCTGCATAGAAAGCGAATATCTCTTTACGCAGCATTTACATATATTCATGTGTGGCAGGCCAGGCTTTCTAATATAAAATCTGTTAAAATAGAACATTTATCATTCGTGTTTTGTTGTTGTTTTTTTTTCCCTCTCTTGTTAACCCCAACTTCATCCCCACCCTGGATCAAATGCTTTTCTATGAGAATAATTTGAATGGTCCATGAGAGGGAAGTAGTAAATCTAATTGATAATAAAGTGAGTATACGCCCACATCCCTTTCAAAGTGAATTTATCATGGAAAGACCCTTACAAGCTGTGTTCTTCAGCTTTTACGACTGGGCAGCCGTTGAAAAATGCAGCTTCCAATGAGAATGGTGCTGATATCCCCGTGTGATTGGTCAGGACTAGCTTTCGTTGTACTTTGTTCTGCAGAACAACCTCCGACCCAAAATCCAGCAGCAGCTCCTCAGACGATCTCCCAGGCAAACTAAAGGAAAGGAGTTTGGTAAACGGTGTAATCAATTTTCAGCATAATTTACCATCGAATGGATTCTACAGGCACCATAAGCACTTCAAAATCGCAATCAGAACACATTTTACATCAGATCAGCAGAGTTACATATTAAATATTTGTACAACAGCCCTTGCCATCACTGGACACACGCATTTTACACAATTTTAGAGGCTGCATACATTTTCAGGCCTTGCAGTTTTTCAGACAAGATCTAAAAATAAAAATGTTCAAAGACCCTGCTTATGGGCATTTGTAAGTAACCCAAAGGCATTTCTGAGAATACACCTTCCCAAAATGCCACCTGAATGTAGGAATAACATCAGTATGTGGGCATTGTGCCTGCATATAACACATTACAGCTACCTGGCTAGGCAACTTATAAAATGTAATGTACACATTGTAATAGGGAAAGCACCAGTACCCATATATATTAACAGCTATACTTATAACATTTAAACTGCTAAATATGTTATGAACATTATGAGCATTCTTTGGGATGTATTTTATTTTAAAAAGGCATGACTTAATGGGTCCTAAAATTGTTCCATCTTGGTATAACTATAAATCCTGATTATCCTTTCTCCGTAGTGATATTTCCTAAAGTTATAAAGGTAGAAGTGGAAAAAGATGCTTACGTCTCATCTTCATCAAACAACGAATAGGATACGTGTAGTCCCTGAGCCTTGGCTTTCATTGTCAAAACAAGAGGATCCACCATGTCTTCAATAGTGCATTGAAAAGCCAGGTTGCTCAATTCATCCTGAAAAAAGAATCACCCGGAACAATAATCATCCTATTAATATCCGGGTAAACAAAGCGTAAAATACTGTAACAGAGCAAAATAAACATACAGTGAGAGAAAAGATATAACGGATTGATGCTTCATATTAAATAATAAACCTAGGACAAAGAGAGGAAAATAGAGGATGACCGTCTCCTGTACTTGATAAAGTTCTGTTAAAATGATAGTGTGACAATATTTTACATACAATACACATACAGTGTTAGTCACTAAACTCAGAATTAGAAAATTAAGGCCTTCGTTTAATATTTTGGATAAACTTTTCAGATGACTTTGGATTGTTTGTTAAACTTTTCAAATTATTATTTTTTAATATTAAAATATCCCCAAAAATATGTCATATATAAAAAAATACAGCAAAAAATATTTTTCTAAATAATTTGAAAAACTTATCCGACAATACACAATTCCCCAAATTCAAACTCAAACAACCAAACTGTGACAAGCGCTGGGTTGGAGAAAGTTTGAAAGATTGAGCATTGAGAGCCTTAGAGTCTTTTTATTAATTGAGATCTTCTTCCAGTGAAAACATATTAGGAGCATCCGTAACCCACCAGGGAATGTACAGTCAGATCCACATGCAGCTCCACTTCTTCATTTGGTCCTAATGTGCCACTTGCTGGTGAGATGGAGGAGGAACAGTGGATGGCATGGCTCCCAGTTAGCTAGAGAGAAAAAAGTGTTCATTTATCAGACATAAATCCTCTACAATCTTTTATAGTAGAGAAAATGTGATCTCGTTTGATAGAAAGCAAATACAATCCTTTAAAAGCCATCATTCAAAGCAGCAGTTTGTCCTGGTTGGATGGAAGAGGGGCAATAATCTGTACTCAACGTGACAGTGAAGATTACCTGTATTTATCATGTAGTTTGCACAAACCTGTGAATTTGTGTATTTGAGTTCCTACCTCTCCCCAGGTGAACTTTGCTGGCAGATGTCCCTGGTTAAAAATCTTTACAGCGCCCTGTGCTGGTACACCCACGTACATGTCTGGAAATTGCAATAAGCTCGAGAGGAGGCAGGCCTGAGGAAGCTGAACGCTGGCTGAAACAGGCAGATAACTACAAAGAAACAAGACGTTCTCAGAGCACAACAACAGACTGTGGGCAAATGTGAATTGAAAACAAAGTCGGTCTAACATTAAATAAAGGAACATTAAACACAATAATTGTGTGGAGCTTTCCATAGCTCCTCCTTCCCCGGTAGATAACAATCTTATATCAGGAACATTATTTGGGCAATAAGTACATTGACAATAAGATGTCAAACCCCTTAGTCCAATTCGAGCACCAAGCAGATGTGAAAATCAATCGTAATTTATGTTACATAGAGCATCATATTTAATGTTTCACATAACTTTCCTTCTGCACAAGATGCTGATTAAAAAAAAGAAATACTGATAATTAATAAATACAGAATTTGGATTGCTCAGATAACTGTGTTTTCACCTTTAACCTATATTCATCAAGGTTCTTCACAGCGTTAGTCACTCACCTGGCTTCCCCATTGTCCACCTGCAGCTGCAGGGTGGTCTCTAATCTCTGACACGCCAGTGGCTGGAACAGGACTTTCAGTTTGGCTGTTCCAAGAGGCGGCAATTCCCCCTTCTCCGGAGTGATAAAAAACGGTGATTCCTAAACAGCAAACATCATAAAAACACATATCCAGCGTCCATTAGGTTAAAGCACATACTTGTTGATTGCATTGTGGATCTTTACGCTTCAACTCACGGGGGGGGGGGAGGATTGGCAATGGGGAGCATTTGCCCACTAGGCCACTAGAATATATGGGATGTGGGGCATACCCTTACAGTCATATTTCCAGTTTATTAAAAGTAGTGGGTGGTGCATTGGGACATTTGTTAGCAGATACAGCAGCGGTGATACAGGAATTGTACAGGGCCTTTGGATAGCCCGTCATTGTGTTTGGGTTAGTGGCCCGTGATGTAAGTGTTCTCCAGGTCTGGACTGGTCCTTTGACCACCTATGTGAATAGGACCATCTACATGACATAGCTGAGTTTCATGAGCAGATAAAGGCCATTCTAACTATTTTCTCCTCAGGCCAAAGGTTGTCAGAATGTGTGCTATTCTCTGTAAAAGAAACGTACCTCCTCTCCTCTTTCAGAAATACACGCTCTGCTCTCCTGCATTCTCCATTTTGCTACCAGCGAGCTGTTGTTCACTATAGTAATGATGCTGACTGCCTTATTGCCCAACTTTATAAGACCTAAATCAAGTGATGGAACATCTATAGTGACAACAGGACCCTAGAGAAAAAAAACACAAATTTATAATTATAACTTTTGTGATAGTTTAGAATAAATTAATCATCCTTTCTCTTTAATGTATGGTGCTATGCTGATTTGGAGAGTATTCCTGAAATGTAGGCATTGATGTAATATTTTTGGATACTGTTTAAAATCATTTCATATTTTAAAAAATAGTCGTATGTTTTGATATATTTTCAAATAATAATTGTAAAAATGAATCCAAAAATATTAACCTATTTGAAAAACATATCCAAAAATAATAAATCGAGACTATAGTAAGAAAATAACTGCCAATCCTCATTCTATTCTTACATCTAACCGTAGAGGTTATAGTTAAGGAGTCTTTGGGTGCAGTCACTTTGTCAGTTTTTGAGTATCTTTCAAGCTCCCTTTGCTCTCATCAGAATATAGAGGAATTGTCACTCCAAATCTGGCCAGCAATGATTGGCTGCAAGCCTGGGGCTCACAGACTATCATTGATGTCCAGGCAGCAAAATCACAACAATAAACTGTAGAGCTTTAGTGGTTATGGTGCCAAGAGTGCTTTTTCATATATTATATATTCGTCCACAGACTGCTTTACAAAGAATAAAAAATATATAAGAAATCACTTGCCTACTGTGGCAGACCTTATGTTCCCCCTGGTTCGGTACCCCTGGTTCTACTGAACGTATTACCGAAAGCATGCTCCCTGGCAGATGGAGGCCATTTTGTCTCCTAACAGTTGTACTTGGTCACGAACTTCATGGAACTCTATTCAGCCACTCAGCCACGCGTTTCCCAGTCTATTTTTTTCCATGCTTTTCCCCACTTACAGACATACAAGGAGAGCGGTAATTGGAGGGAAGGTACGATGGACTATAAGGAACAATCGCTCCCTAAAAACCAGGGGGAACACCCATTTTTTTGACCACAGGAACTCCCGATATTTGACCGGCCAAGACCACTTTTGCTCTGGAACTATTCTGGGTCAAAACGTTACCCGGGTGGCAATAGGACAATACTTAAGGAACCGCACACTATTTGGACAACTTGGGCATGTATGACATGTGGGGTTCCTGTGTGTTTTAACTGTAATTTCATTAATCATTTTAAAAAGTAATGGACTGTTGCAAAATAGTGAGCACTGGATTGGAAAACTTGCCTATCTTACTGACTCAGAAAAGGGGAGTCAGGAAAATAGGCAAGGGATATCGTCAGAAAATTCTATATAAAATGAATGCGGGAAAATTACATAAAATTAATTATGGGATGGTGTTTTGTCAGATAAAGGTTATATTAAGATTTTAAACATTTTTAATGTTAGTTTTCCTTTAACCATTTAATGATCTAAATATGCAGCAGCAAGTTTGCCAGAAACACTTTTTCTATGAGATTTCAGAGAATATTTTATGCAAACCTTAAAAGTGGCCTCGACACCAAGGATGACCGGCTCTGAGGAATGTTCGATGTGACACTTGACTTTCTGGCTGGTGAATCCAATCTGCCCTCCAGTACAACTCAACTCAAACTGACAGAATGCATTTGGCTCTAAAATAAAAGTTAAACATTTTATACCAATTGTACATGGGGCTTGGAGGTACAGTAGAGCAGCACAAGAACAAAATAGCTATTAGGTTTGTAAACTAGAGGTTGTTTTAGACTATGTTAACATATGAAGGACATTTATTTAAAGGGACACTATAGTCACCTGAAGAACTTCAGCTTAATGAGGTTGTTCAGGTGAGAACTATAGCTCCCTGCAGCCTCTCTCATGTAAACACTGTATTTTCTGAGAAAATACAGTGTTCCCATTGAAAGCTAGGAACACCTCCAGTTGCAGTCACTCAGAGTGAACCAGAGGGACTTCGGAGTTGATGGAGGCATAATATGCCTCCATCCACTCAGATCTGCTGTGCACGAGCATCCTGTGATTCAGTATCTCCTCCCACTGCATGCAAACACTGAACTTTCCTCATAGAGATTTATTGATTCAATTCATCTCTATAAGGAGATGCTGATTGGCCAGGGCTGTGTTTGAATCATGCTGGCTCTGCCCCTGATTTGCCTCCTTGTCAGTCTCAGCCAATCCTATGGGGAAGCACTGTGATTGGATCAGGCTCTCTCATGTCAGGAGACAGCTTGTTTTTCCTGAGTCTAACAGCATGCAGATTTACAGCTTCTAGCTTGAATACAGTAAGATTTTTACTATATTTATGGAGGCATGAGGGGGCCAGGGGGGCTAGATGGCTGTGTTAACACTATAGGGTCAGGAATACATGTAGTTGCACTGGTGACTTCAGTGTCCCTTTAACTTCCAGTTGCCAACATTCCATTTTCAAATTCCAAAGTCTTGTATATCAATTTACAGCTTTATACATTCTCACCCCCCACTGTATCCCGCACCCTTCCTCTCCACCCTCTCAACTCTATATCCCTTAAGCACCTCCAAATCAATGAGTTTTATCGCTATTCTCCAAATTTTCATGTAGTACTGGAACAATCCATTGCTACTAATCATTCCCCATCCGTTACAATGTAAAACCCCTGAAAACATATCTCATCATATACTTTCAGGACTCTCACCATCAATCAGTCCCCTTACTATAACTCATCTAACCACTACCTGCTCCCCATCAATTCACCTCTCACCACGACTGATATAGTTTCTACACTCAGTTGCAATTTCTCATTTTATGGTTTTAAATCTTTCATAGTTATTTGCCAAAGTGTGAATGGCAAATTGTAGGTCAAAAGGACGAATTGGAAGAATTGTACTTTCAGTACACTCATTAATGAAAATGCCGTTGGTAAGCATGCTATAAAATAATGTTAAATAAATAAAAACTATATTAAATTCATTGCTTTATAGAAATAATGGTTTTCAACATGGATTCTCAAATAAGTTGATATGTGGTTAGACTAATTAAATCTATTAAATTACATATTTTTATAGCTATGCCCCTCAAATTGTCTACTTTATGATAAATAAAAGGAAATTAGACAGGATTATTAACTAAAGTGCGACTTGATGGGAATCTAAAGTGAATTTCACATCACGGCTTCGATTTATTACTGTTGGATAAGGTTTTCAAATGATTTAATATTTTTTGAATAAACGTTTAAAATAATTTCATGGAGGAGGACCCAGATACAAAGTAGAATGATACAATACACTTTGTATCTGACATGGGCACAATCTATATGAACTGAAATAGATTCCAAATACATAATGATACAGTTTGACAGAATGGATTTATCTACTAAACATGTGTCCAAGTGTATAAAGTGTATGAGTAATAAATAAACAAAGCTCTAAACTGTGCCGTCGAGGGCACCGCTCATTATCCCCCACATCCACCAAGTATAGTCTAAATATAAATGCCTAGGATCAGCCTATTCTGTGATGGATTACAACCAAACAGAGTTATGTAGTGTGGAGTTCAGATCTAGTTAAATCAGACATTATAAATTATACGTTGAAAAATAGCACCGTTCCTGATAGAATTAGTACTTCCACACTATAAAGATAAGCCATGACCCACGGTTGACAACTAATGGGCTCTTCCTGGAAGGGCCCATATATTTATATATATCTATATACACACACACATATATATATATACACACACACACACAATTAAATAAATGTATATATAAAGTAATATGAATATATGTGTATATATATATAAAAAACTATAATTCATAATAGCCCAGCAGAAAGTCCAGATAATTTTATTTGCAAACCTTATATTTGACCCTTTGACCATGTAACTTTCCAAAACCCCATAAAACCTGTACATGGGGAGTACTGTTATACTTCTAAGATGTCGCTGAACAAAAATCTGAGTGTTGTAGAGCAGAAAAACATATAATGACAAAGATATCATCGGTGAAAGTGCAGTTTTGTATGATAAAACCCAAAAAGCAAATATGAACACTAACTTTGGCCAAGGTGCGTGACTAAGTGGCTATCAAAAAGAGACTAGACATAGCCCACTTTGAATACCCTGCAAATGGTATGCCATGATGGGGGTCATTTTTATTCCTGGGCTGCCATACGGTCCTCAAAGGCAACTTAGGCCTAGCAAACCCATCTGGCAAATTTCAATGTGCATAAACTGAAATGGGTAAGCCCTATATTTCACCATGTAACTTTCCAAAACATGGGGGCATCGTTGGACTCATTGGACATCACAGCATAGAAATATGTGTATTTTATTGCACATGGGTGGCATTGTTGTAGTCATGGAACATCACAGCATAGAAATATGTGTATTTTATTGGAGTAAAAGCTAACAGTATCATGACATTAGCAGTTAACAACTTTTTACGTTTTTTATTATATTAAATTGTGTTTCATATATAAATATTTGTAGGCCCTGCTTCTCCTGAACAAAATGATATACAGACACTCCTCACTTTCTGACTGGGTTCCGTTCCTATGACCCGGTCGTAGAACGAATTGGTCAGTAAGTGATGAGTTAAAGGACCACTCTAGGCACCCAGACCACTTCAGCTTAATGAAGTGGTCTGGGTGCCAGGTCCAGCTAGGCTTAACCCATTCTTTTATAAACATAGCAGTTTCAGAGAAACTGCTATGTTTATGAATGGGTTAAGCCTTCCCCCAAAGCCTCTAGCGGCTGTATCATTGACAGCCGCTAGAGGCGCTTGCGTGCTTCTCACTGTGATTTTCACAGTGAGAGCACGCAAGCGTCCATAGGAAAACATTGTAAATGCTTTCCTATGCAACCGGCTGAATGCGCGCGCAGCTCGACAGGGAGGAACGGAGGAGGATCGGAGGAGGAGAGCTCCCCGCCCAGCGCTGGAAAAAGGTAAGTTTTAACCCCTTTCCCCCTTCCAGAGCCGGGGCGGGAGGGGGACCCTGAGGGTGGGGGCACCCTCAGGGCACTATAGTGCCAGGAAAACACGTATGTTTTCCTGGCACTATAGTGGTCCTTTAAGGGATTCCCCGCTCTGGTGTATTCGTCTATGTTCAGGGAAACTTCCCTAAACATAAACGAATGCACCAGAGCAGGGAATCCCTCTATTCTATGTTTGGGGAAATTTCCCTGATCCCTGAACATATTTTAGAGGGATTCCCTGCTCTGGTGCGTTCGTCTATGTTCGTGGACGTTCCCCTGAACATAGACGAACGCACCAGAGCAGGGAATCCCCACGACAGCTCGCACTTACCACTGGTCGTAAGTGCGAGCCGTCGTAAAACAGGTAGATCGCAAAACGAGGACTATCCGTATAACAAGTGTGGGTGCACCTAATATGAAAGAGGTCAATTATGGTTGGACAGACATATAGCGCAAATTTGGATCAGAACTTGGACAATTGCCTCCATCTTTAAGGTGTTGAAAAAATGAAATATGCTTAATATTTTCTGAGAGTCAAAGAAAATGTACATTACCAATTCTTCCCATTTTTGGTTCAATATGAACGATGTGACAGGAAGTGACATTTTCCCACTTGAAGTAAATATCAGAGCGGCTACGATTCCACATCTGTAATGGCAAAACATCAGACGTATCGCAGTTATCCTACGTACTGATACATTTCAACGAGTAACTGAATACAATTACAATTTAGAAAACCACACATTGGTAAGCCATTGAGTTTATCATGATTGTACGGTGTGCTAAATCAATATTACATAACGAAGCAATTGCTACAAACTTTCTGTGTATTTGAAATCAATATTCTGTTTTTACTTGATCAATTTGTTATTTATTTTTTATATCATCGCATTAATATCATTTGAAAGTAACAGTTACTTTTGGCATAACTTGCTTTGATATTACTATACATATTGTCATATAATTGTGAGATATACTTGTTAAATACAATGGCTACTTGTTCTACTAGGAAACTAGAAGGAAACAAAACTGAATACTTGCAATAAACAAATAGTGCAAAAGGAATTTAATTTACCGTTTAATTCTAATAATGAAATATATTATTTAAGAATGATTTATTTTGATACAGAGCACTGGGTGTTGTGCAAAGAAAATATGGCAGTCTTGTTATATAACGTTTTACTGACCTGAAATTCCTTTCTCATGGTTGTTCCAATGAACCCTTCACCGGGAAAGATAATCGTATAGGGCAGCAGTAATATATTAAATGCCTCTGTGCTGCCTTTAAATTCCATATCTAAAACGATGGCATCTTTCAGACTGGCTTCTAGAGTTGCAAGACTTACTGCCTGACTTACCACACTGGGAAGGACAATGAAGAAAAAAAAATAAAGTTATAAGATATCGTGAAGACCTCAAATATTTAAGAGTGTCGTCTCATCACAAAATATACTGGTTATAAATTAATGGCTGCTCTTCAAAGTTATATAACCTAGACCAGGCATCAGCAACCTATGGCACGTGTGCCATGCATGGCACTCGAGGTGTCTTTGCACGGCACTCAAGGCTGCCAGAGCCAGCCAGGAACTGGCCTATCATTAGTCCCAGTGTGACATCAGATATCTGCTAGTGCAATCTGAGCAGTGATTGCAGGTGGTGAGGGATCTCAAATCACTTCCTCCCAGCTATTGTGAACGGGAATAAATACCTTAGTCTGTAGATTTGCTGGTAATTTTGCAAGCACAGAATATAGAATAAAGCTGATATTGTGCGTCAAGCTGGTATTGTCTTCTCTACGTTTCCAGCAAGAAGATAAACTTTAATAATTCATATTCTACTTTATACATCATTTTAATACTTCAAATAACCATTTAATAATTCATATACCACTGTGATACCTACATTACCCTTTAATACCTCATATACCACTGTGATACCTACATTACCCTTTAATACCTCATATACCACTGTTAATACCTACATTACCCTTTAATACCTCATATACCACTGTGATACCTACATTACCCTTTAATACCCCATATACCACTGCAATACCTACATTACCCTTTAATACCTCATATACCAGTGCAATACCTACATTACCCTTTAATACCTCATATACCACTGTAATACCTACATTACCCTTTAATACCCCATATACCACTGCAATACCTACATTACCCTTTAATACCTCATATACCACTGCAATACCTACATTACCCTTTAATACCCCATATACCACTGCAATACCTACATTACCCTTTAATACCCCATATACCACTGCAATACCTACATTGCCCTTTAATACCCCAAATACCACTGCAATACCTACATTGCCCTTTAATACCTCATATACCACTGCAATACCTACATTACCCTTTAATACCTCATATACCACTGCAATCCCTACATTGCCCTTTAATACCTCATATACCACTGCAATACCTACATTGCCCTTTAATACCCCAAATACCACTGCAATACCTACATTGCCCTTTAATACCTCATATACCACTGCAATACCTACATTACCCTTTAATACCTCATATACCACTGCAATCCCTACATTGCCCTTTAATACCTCATATACCACTGCAATACCTACATTACCCTTTAATACCTCATATACCACTGCAATCCCTACATTGCCCTTTAATACCCCATATACCACTGCAATACCTACATTACCCTTTAATACCTCATATACCACTGTGATACCTACATTACCGTTTAATACCCCATATACCACTGTGATACCTACATTACCCTTTAATACCTCATATACCACTGTAATATGTACATTACCCTTTAATACCTCATATACCACTGTGATACCTACATTGCCCTTTAATACCTCATATACCACTGCAATACCTACATTGCCCTTTAATACCTCATATACCACTGCAATACCTACATTACCCTTTAATACCTTATATACCACTGCAATACCTACATTGCCCTTTAATACCTCATATACCACTGTGATACCTACATTGCCCTTTAATACCTCATATACCACTGCAATACCTACATTACCCTTTAATACCTCATATACCACTGTGATACCTACATTGCCCTTTAATACCCCATATACCACTGCAATACCTACATTACCCTTTAATACCTCATATACCACTGCCTAATCCCTACATTGCCCTTTAATACCCCATATACCACTGCAATACCTACATTACCCTTTAATACCTCATATACCACTGTGATACCTACATTACCGTTTAATACCCCATATACCACTGTGATACCTACATTACCGTTTAATACCCCATATACCACTGTGATACCTACATTACCCTTTAATACCTCATATACCACTGTAATATGTACATTACCCTTTAATACCTCATATACCACTGTGATACCTACATTGCCCTTTAATACCTCATATACCACTGCAATACCTACATTGCCCTTTAATACCTCATATACCACTGCAATACCTACATTACCCTTTAATACCTCATATACCACTGCAATACCTACATTGCCCTTTAATACCTCATATACCACTGCAATACCTACATTACCCTTTAATACCTTATATACCACTGCAATACCTACATTGCCCTTTAATACCTCATATACCACTGCAATACCTACATTACCCTTTAATACCTTATATACCACTGCAATACCTACATTGCCCTTTAATACCTCATATACCACTGTGATACCTACATTGCCCTTTAATACCTCATATACCACTGCAATACCTACATAACCCTTTAATACCTTATATACCACTGCAATACCTACATTGCCCTTTAATACCTCATATACCACTGTGATACCTACATTGCCCTTTAATACCTCATATACCACTGCAATACCTACATTACCCTTTAATACCTCATATACCACTGTGATACCTACATTGCCCTTTAATACCTCATATACCACTGTAATATGTACATTACCCTTTAATACCCCATATACCACTGTGATACCTACATTGCCCTTTAATACCTCATATACCACTGCAATACCTACATTACCCTGTAATACCTCATATACCACTGCAATACATACATTGCCCTTTAATACCCCATATACCACTGCAATACCTACATTACCCTTTAATACCTCATATACCACTGTGATACCTACATTGCCCTTTAATACCTCATATACCACTGTGATACCTACATTGCCCTTTAATACCTCATATACCACTGTGATACCTACATTGCCCTTTAATACCTCATATACCACTGCAATACCTACATTACCCTTTAATACCTTATATACCACTGCAATACCTACATTGCCCTTTAATACCCCATATACCACTGCAATACCTACATTACCCTTTAATACCTCATATACCACTGCAATACCTACATTACCCTTTAATACCTCATATACCACTGCAATACCTACATTACCCTTCAATACCTCATATACCACTGTAATATGTACATTACCCTTTAATACCTCATATACCACTGCAATACCTACATTATCCTTTAATACCTCATATACCACTGTAATATCTACATTACCCTTTAATACCCCATATACCACTGCAATACCTACATTACCCTTTAATACCTCATATACCACTGCAATACCTACATTACCCTTTAATACCTCATATACCACTGCAATACCTACATTGCCCTTTAATACCCCAAATACCACTGCAATACCTACATTACCCTTTAATACCCCATATACCACTGTTATACCTACATTGCCCTTTAATACCTCATATACCACTGCAATACCTACATTGCCCTTTAATACCCCAAATACCACTGCAATACCTACATTACCCTTTAATACCCCATATACCACTGTTATACCTACATTGCCCTTTAATACCTCATATACCACTGCAATACCTACATTACCCTTTAATACCTCATATACCACTGTGATACCTACATTGCCCTTTAATACCTCATATACCACTGCAATACCTACATTACCCTTTAATACCTCATATACCACTCTAAAACCTACATTACCCTTTAATACCTCATATACCACTGTGATACCTACATTACCCTTTAATACCTCGTATACCACTGCAATACCTACATTACCCTTTAATACCTCATATTCCACTCTAAAACCTACATTACCCTTTAATACCTCATATACCACTGCAATCCCTACATTGCCCTTTAATACCTCATATACCACTGCAATACCTACATTACCCTTTAATACCTCATATACCACTGTGATACCTACATTACCCTTTAAAACCTCATGTACCACTTGAATGCTTCCCACTTTACCTTGACGGATCTGGAATGTCCTGGAGAACCATCTGAGCAATACTGTGATACTCAATCAGCTTCAAAACAAAGAAACAGGAGAGGATGGTGATGCATTAAACAGGAAAAAACAACTATCATTTTAATTTTACTAATTATAGTAAATGTATATATAGGTGCCAAAAAGATTGTGGTGAGGACAAACACAATCAAATTCTACACAGTGCAATGAGAAAAAAATACTGTTGTGCATCACCTGCATTTGTCAATTTGGAGAGTCCTCCTTGGGCACAGAAAATGGAGAAATCATGGATACCTGCAGAAATGGAGAATGACGGCTGAAACACAAAGGGTGTCTGTGCTCATTTGCATGTCAAACTGGGAACTCTGGGATAGTTTTGGATATGTAAAGTTGGGAACGCTGGGATAGTTGTGGATATATCAAGCTCGGAACACGGAGACAGTTGTGGATATATCAGGCTCAGAACGCTGAGATAGTTGTGGATATATCAAGCTCAGAACGCAGGGATAGTTATAGATATAGCAAGCTGGGAATCCTGGGATAGTTGTGGATATATCAAGCTGGGAATCCTGGGATAGTTGTGGATATATCAAGCTGGGAATCCTGGGATAGTTGTGGATATATCAAGCTGGGAATCCTGGGATAGTTGTGGATATATCAAGCTGGGAATCCTGGGATAGTTGTGGATATATCAAGCTGGGAATCCTGGGATAGTTGTGGATATATCAAACTCAGAACGCAGGGATAGTTATAGATATAGCAAGCTGGGAATCCTGGGATAGTTGTGGATATATCAAGCTGGGAATCCTGGGATAGTTGTGGATATATCAAGCTGGGAATCCTGGGATAGTTGTGGATATATCAAGCTGGGAATCCTGGGATAGTTGTGGATATATCAAGCTGGGAATCCTGGGATAGTTGTGGATATATCAAGCTGGGAATCCTGGGATAGTTGTGGATATATCAAACTCAGAACGCAGGGATAGTTATAGATATAGCAAGCTGGGAATCCTGGGATAGTTGTGGATATATCAAGCTGGGAATCCTGGGATAGTTGTGGATATATCAAGCTGGGAATCCTGGGATAGTTGTGGATATATCAAGCTGGGAATCCTGGGATAGTTGTGGATATATCAAGCTGGGATTCCTGGGATAGTTGTGGATATAGCAAGCTGGGAATCCTGGGATAGTTGTGGATATATCAAGGTGGGTACTCTTAGATAGTTGTGGAAACGTGATTTCTCAAGATTTTATGCCCAAAGTCCAACTTGAGATATGCAGATGATGCACAACAGTACTTTTTCCCACATAAATGCAGATATTTTTCATACAGATTACCTTAGTGGGTTTGTATGTCACAGAGAACGTATGCGCTTGGTGAGGTCCTATGACTCCCTCCGTTGGGCTAATGCTAAATGCCGTCGTTGTCTCTTCACTCTCGGCAATATCGACAGCTGCTCCGGGTAGTAAAGTTTGCAAACTGGGTTTTATTATCTGCCAGTAAAATGGAAGAGGGACGTGCCTGGGTAAATAAGAAAATGACAATATTCAGGGAGGCATTTACTAACTGGCTGCAAATAAAAATAATAACACATTTTTTCACACAACTTTTATCTTTGAACTTTATTTGCACTTTATTTGTTCAAAATGGTGATAAATTGTGGGAAAGAATGCATATGTTAAATACCACTGAATTATAGCACATTTAAAAAACACATTGCTGTATTTTTAAAATGTGCGTTATTTAAATCTTTATTCTTGTTGCATAGATACAGTAATAAAGCCAATCAGCATTCTTTCCCTCCTCTCACTAAGCATGCAGCTTGAGAATGAATGTAAAATGGATGCCTTCCAGTAGGTGGGAGGGTCTGCTAGGGAGGGTGTGCTGCTAATTGGCTGGAATGTGTCTGCTGACTGTGAGGTACAGGGTCAAAATTTACTCAATGATGACGAATAGGGGGCGGATCGAACCGCGCATGCGTTCGCCGTCCGCGGCGGACGCGAACACGCTATGTTCGCCGGGAACCGTTCGCCGGCGAACTGTTCGGTACATCACTATTGATGATGTCCCTCAGTACAGACTGGGTTTGCCTGACTGATATTGCTTTCAACGAGTTCCAAAAGGCATAAATCAGGAATTGCTTGAGGAGCTTTCGGCGAAGTACCCCTGGCTATTATGGGGTCCTGCTCTCTGCTCGGTCAGCATGCTAAAACAGTTCTAATATGTGAATACATCTGTACTGTCTGCACACTATGGTGGGTTGTTGTCTTATCGCCAAGCATTCTATATTAAATTAACTTCAGAATTCTTTGGTTCCTGAGCCAAAACCATCTCTCTGCAATGATAACATGTCTGTGCTGACAAATCACTAGTGACTAATCGCTAGTAAGGACAGATGATTGGTGAAGTTCTCAATTTAAATAAGTCAGACCCAAGTTAAAATAAATGAATCCTTTACCTTTCTTCCCTTTGACAAACAACCCGAATTTCCTCTAGGCATAGATAGGAAGAAATTCACATGTTTTTAACACGAAAACCTTTTCAGATTAGGAATATGGTGGTTGGGGACAAACTCAGACAGTTTCGCAACTTATTAGACGGAGCCCCAGACATGTTTTTACACAGACTGAAACATGAACAAGTGTAAGTTTATACGCCAAATACCCAAACAACCTGACTTATACCGAGCTTTCACCTCCTTTGAACACGTGTCCACCCAGATCCTCAACCACATACTGTTTCACTTCTACACTCATTATTGCAACGCAATATGAATCTCTCGGCTTCCACAAGAGTGGTGTAAGATATGTGATCTAGTACAAAATTGTGCACTAGCCAGCAAAACCCAGAAACAGCCTAAAAAGTGTTATTCATGTTGTATAGAATGCCGCAGCTTCTTTGGAGTATGAATCCTGTCCTACATGGAGACTGTTGGCATTGCCATGTAGCTACAGGTTTCCTTCTTCACATTTGTTGGCAGTGTTCAAAGGTTAAACCTTTCTGGAAGGCGATGGAAGCAATCCTACAGAAGTTCTCTGACAGCCCTCCACCCTTTTGCCCTGCTCCTTTTCTCTTCCATCATACCACCTCATCGGTGGCCAAATATAAGAAATCCCTGACCCTTTGGATTTTAAATACTGCTACAAATTGTTCCCTTTACTGGAAACAGGACAAATTACCACCTCTTACTGTTTAGTCTGATAAAATGCAAGACTTTAGACGACTAGAAGAACTGATTTTCATGACAAATGGATGTACCCAACTGTATGTAGACATATGGACACACTGGCTGGCGACCGCATATCATGTGCATTTCCAATGACTGTTGACTTATGGAACATAGACCAGTGTATAAATGGAACTGGGGAGGAATTTAGTCACTACAGGATGGCATCTCGGGTCACCTGTCAAGAGCATATTTGTGGAGCCCTGGAACTGTAGACCTCCGCCGCCTCTAATATAACCTAAAATTCACGTTTACAAGGGTACCTGATTGAGCAGAGTTTATGACTCTATTAGCGTTGAGAATACTCTCAAATTAAGGACCTTCTAGAGAGGGATCAAGTAGGGACTAGGAGATATGGGCTTCTGTGGACCCATCTGGTTGTTGTGGAGGTGTATGGGGGTCAGTGCTCTTAGGATTTATCTGTTAATTGATACTCCACAACAATCACACTCTGAAACATGATTTAGCATAACTGTTCTATCTTGTTGAATGTGCCTTAATATATTATGATGGACCTGCATGTCCACAAGATTTTTAGTTTTCATCAACATTATCTTGGGCAACCTGGAAATTATGGTTGACTTGGAGTTGGACCTGTGTGTCCGTTGGCTCTGAGCTTGAATTTCTGTCTAGCAACCAATAAAAATATAATTTACAAAGAAATTAATGAATTAATCCTGTATTGTTTAAATACAAGATGTTAATGATTATCACGTCAGGGGTGCATTTTGTCAAACCTTGTCTGTTCAGTAATCTGCTGGGGTCTTTATAGGTTAATGTCATGTAAATGGAAAGGTTATGTAATGGCACTAGTGCTTGAAATCTGGCTCAGCCTAGAAATGTGCCTTCTGTGGCCAATATCGTTAAAACTCATGTAAATCTGCTCACCACACCATGTACAACTCAGGAAACGGACTACCACGTTACTCTATATTGGAATCAAATCACTTTATGTCATCCAACTTTAAAGGGACACTCTAAGCCCCAAAACCTTAGATTAGTGAAGTGGTTTGTTGCATAGATCATGCCCCATGCAGTGTCGCTTTATTTATGGAGTCCTACCCATCTCACCTGGCTGAAACTTGCACAGCCTACATCTCCTACAGTCTACATCCCCTTAGTGCGCGGTGTGTTTAATTTAGAATTTCATATCTCCTGCTCTGTGCATAACCTGCTACAGTTGACTAGGTGTGATTAAAGTTCAATTAACATAGAAGGAGATAAGAACTTCTAAAGTAAATACACTCTGCTGTAAGATCTTATTGAATGTTAAAGCATTGTTTTCATGCAGGGGAGGTGTGAGTACAACTGCATAAACAGAAACACACGTGATTTAACTCCTAGATGTCAGAGAATTGATCAGTATGAGCTCTACACTAACACGGTTTCTTTGTTTTGGTGCTTAGAGTATCAGTCTATTGAAGCCTTTCCACTTTACTTTGTATGTAGAACTCTGGGCCCTTGGGCTGTTGGCTAGGCTTGGGTTTATAATGAAATCCAATCACTTTATTTTCCCTTACGTGGAATTCCAGATAACCAGACTTTTCTTCACACAGGAACACAGATTTGTGGGTGGAAACTGTACCATATGCTTTGCTGAGACATCTGTTATTTCCCCGGCCTCGGCTGTGCTCTCTCCACCTATAGACACTACTTCCAGCCCTGCCAGCTCTCCACACCCTGGGTATGAAGAGAAAAGTACAATATAACAACAACAATAATAATAATGAGCAGAGAGAGGTTGTTGGCATGATGACAAAAATCATACTGAATTTATACGACAATCCAATAGAATTTTGTGTTGTAAAATTTAAAATTTGTACAAAAAAAATGCATTTGTCCCAACAAGAGTTTTTGAAACATGTCAGAGACAGTATGTTAATTGAACTAACTCAAACAGACTCAGGGTCTACACAACAGCATTTTCCTGTTAAGACCATCCTTCTGCATAATTGGACACAAAAACATTAAAAATTGTAAAGATTTGAGAAACGTGCAACTATGACCAAGTGGCTGCAAATCAGATATGTTTCATAATGGCTTCATAGTGGAAGGCCATGCAGTGGACACTGCACTAGTACATTGGGGATTCTAGGCAGAGGAGCAAGGGAGGAAGCTTTTGTTATGCTCTGCCAAGTTGAGAAGTCAAGATTAATATTTAAAGACTATAAAGACAGTATTATTATTTAAAGACAATATGGAAAGCAAATATTAAAAGAAGAAAACAACATACAGATCTCACTTTTAACAAAACGCTTAGGTTAGGTTGCAGCCAGCATCCCCCCTCCCCCCTGGTGAAGCCCATAGACATCCCCCATAAGGTTGATGACCACTGACGAAACGCTGATGAGCCAAATAAACATACCTGCCAGTATGACATCTTTGACCTGGCAGTTATCACAAGCAATGGTAAAAACGTGGTTGTACGTTTCAGGAGATGATGGAAAAAACACAACCTGAAAGACAATATATTGTGAAACAGGCACCAATTAACCACAGATTGCTCCAAGAATAAAGAGTTATTGCAACCAGTCAATATACAATAGGTGCAGAAAATTTCATATCAGATAAACATTGAAAGCAATGAGTCCATTTTCCGATTTGCCTAAAAAATTAATTGTGATTTTAAATTGATCTTATGTACATGCAAAGCACTTTAAATTTTTATTATTAATGTTAGCATTCCACCATATCCACCGGTAATGCTGTTTTAGGTAACTACTACCCTTTCTATGAAGTAATTATAATCCCATACATTCCAAATGTTCCTATTTAGGAGGGACAGTCCCTATTTTGGGCCCAATCCCCCTGTCCATCCTTTAAATCCTAATGTCCCTCTTTTCTAGGAGCTCCTTGTTGGTGTGTCTGAGTGTATAACAGAGCTCCACAGCAATAATACTCCCAGTAATGTGTCTGAGTGTATAACAGAGCTCCACAGCAATAATACTCCCAGTAATGTGTCTGAGTGTATAACAGAGCTCCACAGCAATAATACTCCCAGTAATGTGTCTGAGTGTATAACAGCACAGCAATAATACTCCCAGTAATGTGTCTGAGTGTATAACAGAGCTCCACAGCAATAATACTCCCAGTAATGTGTCTGAGTGTATAACAGAGCTCCACAGCAATAATACTCCCAGTAATGTGTCTGAGTGTATAACAGAGCTCCACAGCAATAATACTCCCAGTAATGTGTCTGAGTGTATAACAGAGCTCCACAGTAATAATACTCCCAGTAATGTGTCTGAGTGAATAACAGAGTTACACAGCAATGTGTTTAGAAATCAATCTGTGTAAACAAGATACATTGTTCTTGTTCCAAATTACATTTTAGCTGCATAGATTGCTATTAGTTAGTCACCTATAATTCTGCAGATCAGCCCTGCCCCTGGCCACATCCCCAATCACACTCCTAAAATTAAATTGCCTCCATTTGTCAATTTGAAATGTTGAGATGCATGTAATCCCATCAGAATTTTCATTTTACATATTAAATACCATATTATCTCCTTAACCTCTAGGTACTCCAGACTAAGTTGGTAAAATCTTAAATATTTATATTTAAAATAGATGTATGTCTCTTTTCAAAAAAATAAAATAATTTATGAAAGCTTGCATTATTCTGTAAAATTATCATTATCAAGCTTCTTTTATACGGGTAAAATACTGCTGATTCTGTGTATTCACAGCTTTCCAAACACTGTAAAAAATAATGATTACACTAAATGATATTTACTAACATATCAAAACCATATAATGAAGGGGTTTTATTTGCCACCAACTGACCTCAATGATGATCTCTTGACCAGGATATAATTCGAAAAACGATGGATGAATACCAAATGGGCCTTTTTCCACAAATCCTCCTGTAGCCACGCTCTTAAGTAACATAACAAAACAAAATAAATAAATAAATAATTTAAAAACTGAATGAGTGATCAATGAATGATAGAGAATTCAAAATGAATATCAAATATTAGGCCAATTTGAAAATTGGAAAAAAAATCTCCAGTCCACAATTTTTTCAATGAATCTATTTTGGCCTAAAATATAAAAAAAAATAAAAAAATTCAGGCATTAGTCAATGATGAGAAATGCTAAGAATAATACATTCCTTGGCTGCATCATGTACTAAGTTATTAGAAGGCTTTGCTTTGATCGAGAGAGATCGGCAAAAAGTCTGTTTACTGAGAGAGGAGTTACACACTTTCCTATACACACAATCAAGGTAGCCCAGCCACTATGGTGTTTATTTAATAAACACTGAATTGTAGGGAGCTTCATTTAAACGGAGAGAGTTCCAATATCACAGGTGCATTTATTAACATATTCATGTACTTGAATGAACCCACAATGTCTCTTACCCTGAAACTCGCCGGAGGCCACGCACTTTTTGGCATGATGCAGAACCGTCCACGGCTCATCCCATCGTTGCGGCAGATCCACTCCATGACCTTAACTCCTCCCACCAAGCAGGGGCCACAGTCTAAAGTGTGGGGTACTAAACAGAAAGAAAACAATATGTACAGCTGCTGGATATTCAACCATATAATAGTTAATATTCCAGGTTCCAGCTTGCTGATCCATGGAGTAATCAAAGGGAATGTTTCTACATTTTGTGACACAATTGTAAATCACTTCAAAATACTGATTTCATCATATTTAGGATTAACAGCAAAAACAGAGACATGAGAATTGCTGAACTCGATGGACTGGAGTCTTTTATTAACCTGTATTATTATACTGTATAGGCTAAGTAAGATAAAACAATCACATTAGGGAAAATAACTGAATGTCAATGTGCAGTACATGTTTATATTGATGTTCAGCTCAGAGACAATAACGGCACATAATAAATATTTCATCATACCATTACAACCCCCCCCCGACTTATGAAGTACACAAATAGAATAATAATTGTTAATTCCATGATCTATCAGGTGATTTATCTGGTTTCACGTATAGTGCAGCCACTGACCTCTTCCTTACCAACCGTATGTATAGATAGCTGTCTCCGCCAAATCTATGTATAAATGGGTTTTGCCTTGATTTGCATTGCACAAAGAAAAAACACTTAATGTTTTTTGTTCTTCTTATGTACTGAGTTTAAGCAGAAATTTTTTGGGGTTTTTAATGGCTCTTCTTAGCTTGCCATATATTGGATAGTTGATTTCCCTCTATAATAGAGTTTTATAGTGTAGGGGGAGAATTTACAACCATTGGTACCTTTTAACCCAAATCAGCACCCTGTTTTCAGGTGTCACTGAATGAGGACAGAACTGTTAATTCTTTCATCTGCATTCCGTTCTGCTGCTATGTGGGGTTATATCCTGGTGGTGTGTGGTGTTATATTCTGGTGGTGTGTGGTGTGTGTAGTGTTATATCCTGATGGTGTGTGGTGTTATATCCCGGTGGTGTGTGGTGTTATATCCTGGTGGCGTGTGGTGTTATATCCTGTTATATCCTGGTGGCGTGTGGCGTTATATCCTGGTGGTGTATGGTGTGTGGTGTTATATCCTGGTGGTGTGTGGTGTTATATCCTGGTGGCGTGTGGTGTTATATCCTGGTGGCGTGTGTTGTTATATCCTGGTGGTGTGTGGCGTTATATCCTGGTGGCGTGTGTGGTGTTATATCCTGGTGGTGTGTGTAGTGTTATATCCTGGTGGTGTGGTGTTATATCCTGTGGTGTTATATCCTGGTGGCGTGTGGTGTTATATCCTGGTGGTGGTGTTATATCCTGGTGGCGTGGCGTTATATCCTGGTGGTGTGTGGCGTTATATCCTGGTGGTGTATGGTGTGTGGTGTTATATCCTGGTGGTGTGTGTAGTGTTATATCCTGGTGGTGTGTGATGTTATATCCTGGTGGTGTGTGGTGTGTGGTGTTATATCCTGGTGGTGTATGGTGTGTGGTGTTATATCCTGGTGGCGTGTGGTGTGTGTAGTGTTATATCCTGGTGGTGTGTGGTGTTATATTCTGGTGGTGTGTGGTGTGTGTAGTGTTATATCCTGATGGTGTGTGGTGTTATATCCCGGTGGTGTGTGGTGTTATATCCTGGTGGTGTGGCGTTATATCCTGGTGGCGTGTGGTGTTATATCCTGGTGGTGTATGGTGTGTGGTGTTATATCCTGGTGGTGTGTGGTGTTATATCCTGGTGGCGTGTGGTGTGTGTAGTGTTATATCCTGGTGGCGTGTGTTGTTATATCCTGGTGGCGTGTGGTGTGTGTAGTGTTATATCCTGGTGGCGTGTGGTGTTATATCCTGGTGGTGTGTAGTGTTATATCCTGGTGGTGTGTGGTGTTATATCCCGGTGGTGTGTGGTGTTATATCCCGGTGGCGTGTGGTGTTATATCCTGGTGGCGTGTGGTGTTATATCCTGGTGGCGTGTGGTGTTATATCCTGGTGGCGTGTGGCGTTATATCCTGGTGGTGTGTGGCGTTATATCCTGGTGGTGTATGGTGTGTGGTGTTATATCCTGGTGGTGTGTGTAGTGTTATATCCTGGTGGTGTGTGATGTTATATCCTGGTGGTGTATGGTGTGTGGTGTTATATCCTGGTGGCGTGTGGTGTGTGTAGTGTTATATCCTGGTGGCGTGTGTTGTTATATCCTGGTGGCGTGTGGTGTTATATCCTGGTGGCGTGTGGTGTTATATCCTGGTGGTGTGTGGTGTTATATCCTGGTGGCGTGTGATGTTATATCCTGGTAGTGTTATATCCTGGTAGTGTTATATCCTGGTGGTGTGTGGTGTGTGTGGTGTTATATCCTGGTGGCGTGTGGTGTTATATCCTGGTGGCGTGTGTTGTTATATCCTGGTGGTGTGTGGTGTGTGGTGTGTGTGGTGTTATATCCTGGTGGTGTGTGGTGTGTGTGGTGTTATATCCTGGTGGTGTGTGGTGTTATATCCTGGTGGTGCATGTAGTTTTATACCCTGGTGGCATGTGGTGTGTGTAGTGTTATATCCTGGTGGTGTGTGGTGTTATATCCTGGTGGCGTGTGGTGTGTGGTGTTATATCCTGGTGGTGTGTGGTGTTATATCCTGGTGGCGTGTGGTGTGTGGTGTTATATCCTGGTGGTGTGTGGTGTTATATCCTGGTGGTGTGTGGTGTTATATCCTGGTGGCATGTGGTGTGTGTAGTGTTATATCCTGGTGGCGTGTGTTGTTATATCCTGGTGGTGTGTGGCGTTATATTCTGGTGGTGTGTGTAGTGTTATATCCTGGTGGCGTGTGTTGTTTTATCCTGGTGGTGTGTGGCGTTATATTCTGGTGGTGTGTGTGGTGTTATATCCTGGTGGTATGGTGTGTGTGTGTATGGTGTAATATCCTTTCAGTTATTACTATACTGACTACAATAACATATCAATACATGCCGATGCCCTGTGGGCAATGCTGATATGGGTCACTTGGCTGGTAATAAGGAACTGTGTGTATTATGTGAATATGAGCGTATTTAGCACACAGCACTTACTGGTTAGTGCAGGAGGTGCTCGTCTTGCTTCTATGGGAACCAAAACAGGATATGGTGCTTGGGTCTCGACCAGTATATAATCCTCGAAATCTGCCAGGGAATCCGGAACAAACCGAATGGTGTAATGGCAGCTCATTCCTGGCGCAACTATCCCGCCCTCTCCTGGAAACTTCCCTAAAAAGTCAGCGATAAAAGGGGATACAAAATTTATATATCAGAACACATTACAGGAACATATAAATAACCAGGGGGTGAAATATATATAAATTAATCAACCTGATCACTTTTAAAGCCAATGATAGCCTGCGATCACTGAGCTAACCTACCCCTCAGTGTTCACAGTCTATCATCTCCATCCAGAACTGGACCGATTGCAAGATAGCGAGGAATTAAAATTCTGCCCTGCGAGTGTGTCATAATGTTATATGAAAGATAAAACTATGAATGGCTTGATGGGATTATTTGTTTCTGACCTTTATTTGCAATCAAATACAGAAGAATGAGGGCAGCTCTATCAGATACAAAAATGTGCTTCCAATGTTTATTGAAGGACAAAATAAGAATACAGATATTACAGGTTGTCCATTTATCAATGAATTAAGTCTTTTGTGTGCACTTTTTGCATCAGATAACGCTGCCCTCGTTCTCTATTTGAGTTTGATATTTACTCTACTAGAGAAACGGTGTGTGACGTGTTAGCTGCACAGAGTTAATGGCTTCTATTTTCCTATTTGGGTCCTGCAATGACCTGTGTTTTATGTGACCTTTTATTTATTTGGGAATTCTCTTGATTAAGTTCATCCCAAAAAGACAGAAATATTAAAGTCTATAAGGTGAGCACAATCACGGTGTGCTTTTTTATTGATGAACATCTATTTTGACTGCAGCAGAGGGACCAGGCTTTATGTTCAGGAGTGCCACATTATTTGTAAAAAAAAAAAAAAAAAAAAAAGTTTGACAAAAACTTGAAAAAAATGCATCCATAGTCTCCTTGTACCATAACCACTCTTATGAGAGTGTCCTTTTCACATAATAATAATATTGTAATAATAATAATGCAGTGAATTAACTGTAGGGATTACAGCTACTGGATAAAGGGGTTACAGCTACTGGATAAACATCTGGCTCATTCTGCATTTGTTGAGCTGGTGAAATTTACGAAGATGATCACGGCTATACATTTAAAGGAGACATTTTTTCATTACCAAAGCTTTATCACTTAAACATTAGATCACTGTGATTGCTATCAAACGTCCGGACTTACCCAGGCAGATAGAGAAGTAAGGGGTGGATGGAGGGATCACTCTCACATGGCGACTGGACGCAGTCATGTTTCGAAGTTCAATAGTCATCTTTGTGTATTGGAGAAAAAAATAAATAGAGTTGTAAATTTGAATTACAGCATCAATCTTCTTCAACAGCCTAACACCCCATATCCTACTACATTATAAACTCCTATTGGAGAGGTAGTCAACAAAGAAACTCTACAGCAATTTTGTTGGACCAGTGATTACCCAAAGCCTCTGGGTTGAAGCTCAAAATTTGGTCCCCAAATGCTGGAAAAGGCACATCATAGTCGCCATGTCATAGGAAACTGCCTGTAATAAATTGTTTACTGTAGCAGAACTGCCTTGCCCAACGTAGTTGAGTCTTCTATGAGACTAGACAGAGTTTAATTAAGGTGTTTGGTTTAATGTATTTATTTTTATTATTACAGTACACTTGAAGAATAGGTCACTGAGCTAATTGTAAAACTAAAACAATGTTCACCAAACTAATGCTACAAATGGATATTGCTGGACTGCCATTAGCGTTACTGCCCTGGATCATTCTCTACCAATACATAGACATCTGTGGTTACTGAGGCCCCAGACCACTCTGTTGGCGTGAATACAGAAATTGTGAGGACTCTCTAATAACAGAGATCAGCCTGCTGCTCTGAGAGTAAAATGGCATTATACACAAAATGAGAATAATTAGATATGCAAACCGACTGCCAGCGGACCTAATACGAGCATAGGACGAAACCTGGAAATGTAACAAAAATCGACTTATATATCTGTTGTATAAAAGTGCAGTGGAGTTTGGCATATTGCACAGATAACTTAATTGGTTTTGTTTATATAGTGGGGGTGAATACTATATTGCTTCCCAGTAGTGGGAGTTTTAGTGCAGTGCATGTATACCAGGAAACGTCCTGTCTACGGACAGGCAGCTGCAATACTTATATGACGACCTAGTGACACACACTCAATCCCCATTATTTAGGCAATTCTGCTGAATACAATATTCCCAATCCACCCCATATATAAATAGAAAGAAAGTGAGAGTCAATGCATGGATTTCATTGTCGAGCTTTCTACCTGCTCCCGAACACTCAGATACCCAGAATGCATTGCATTCAGACACTCACACAGATTAAAAGGCTACTTGTTCTTGGAGTGTATCAGACACCAAACACACCTCATAAATCTGGCCAACTTCATAATCGGGAAAGAAGACCACTGGTGGGTTGGCGAGAAATATTGGCACTGGTTCCTGTGGGTCACTATAAAGAAAGGATCTAATTAATGTATATTCATATTACCTCTATGGTTGGTACCATTTCTCCCACACTCTCATACAATAGAATAAATTCATTTGGGAATTGGGAGTTGGAAATGCGGCTACAAAAGGTTTGAACCCTACATTTCATTTTATGATATAATGAACAAGCAGCTCATTCACAAGCCCACCAACTCCAAATTAAGAAGAAAATTTAGAGAGGTTTCAATTCTGGTTTGGAATACGAAATAATTAATGTTGGCTACAGTGATGGCTAACTGTAATACCCCGTTATATTTAGACCCAAGGTAATTGTAGCCCAGAGACAAATGAGATGACAGGGTTAGCCTCAACTGGAGTATCAAGAGCCCTCTGGCTGGCACTAGTTCTAGAGGGAAAGAGCGTAAGAAAACAAACACCAATACTGAAACCAATTCGGTGTTTTGTAAAATCACTAGAGATGTCCAAATTTACCCTCTGCTCAATGTTGACTAAAGAAACTCTGATGGGTTTTTGGTTAGGCATGTGGCTCTACCAGACCTATGAAGCAAATATCTACACATCCATGTATTTATATACTTTATCACGCTTTCATACTTTGCTTCAACCACTATTTTCCTTCCCGATATTGTTCTTTCGGTTTTCTTGGTGGGAACAATAAGAGATCGTCCTCCATGCATACTGTGCGGTGGGAGAAATCGAGGGTTTCTCAGGAAATTGTGCCTTTTTTCTAACTGAGCCAACTTGGATCGTTGTTTTTCCCTTTCTTCTGCGCTCATTCCCTCCTTCCACAAGACCTGTTTAGCTGGCGTAGATTTCTGTAATACATCCATATTTAAGTTAATAAGACTAGAGCAATGTGCCACCATGGTGTCAGTCATGTGGCGTTGCAGCACCAGTGTTACTTGTTATCATTGTGCATTTATGGATACAAAATGACTGAAGAACACAATGATATAGAATTTGACAGACAACATCATCTAGCCAACACAAATGCTAGAGCACAGTTCCAGTCTAGAAATCCATCTGGCGAGCCCCATATGGTAAGAGGAAATTCTGGTTCTCAACATTCTGCATCACTACCTCTTGAACCCATTAATCATTTGTTCTTTTTAGTTTCTTTCTTTCTTTTTTTTTTTTTTTTTTAATAGAAATAAGAAATAAACTCTATGAACCTAGCAGTAATTAATGATGAATTTCCCAAAGGTGATTTTTTAAATTATAACTTGGCTCATTTCTTTTCGGTTCTGATAAAATTCCTCAGAGTTTCACTGTATTCCTTAACAACCAAATTGAATATGCGTTGAGATAATATTTTCAGACGGATCTCAATGTTGCAGCGAGGCTTGCTTATAAATAGCTCAAGCAAACTGCAAACAAATAGCAGCCAACTTCACTGCTACAAGAAAAAAAAAAGTCCAAATTCGAATGGAAGTGCAAATTTGCATGAAATTACTAATTTTGCCATTTATGAATAACCAAAAGGCCTACATTATTATTATTATTTATAAAGTGCCAACAAATTCCGTAGCGCAGGTCGACTAACAGACATCTATTTGCAACAAGTCGAGTTGGATGCAAAGGAACACAGGGTGTTGAGGACATGGCTCAAATTGGCTTAAATGCTATAGGGAGTGGGGTACAACATTAAAAAAACACTATAGTGTCAGGAACACAAACATGTATTTCTGACCCTATAGTGTTAAAAACACTATCTAGCCCCCTAGGCTCCACCTTGCCTTAAATCTAATAAAATCTTACCTTTATTCCAGTCTGCTGCTGCTGGTTCTGTCCCTAATCTGCCTGCTTGGCTGACATCATCAGAAGTGGATATCTCAGCCAATCACAATGATTTCCCATAGGACAGCATTGGATTGCCTAAGATTGCAAAGGAGGCAAATCAGGGGCAGAGTAAGCACAAGAAAAATACAGCCCTGGCCAATCAATCAATTTTAGTGAATAGGCCCCATTTTTTGTCTCAGTTATTTAAATGGGGACACGATTTACTAAACCATAAATTCTGGATTTACAAGGAAAAAATATTCAATCCAAATTTATGTTCACAAAACTACGTATCCCCCTGGCTCTTGAAGACACACCTTACTTGGTCTCTTCTTACTTCGCTCTAGAATATCTGATGTTGACGATAATGTTAAGTCAGATAGAGAATCATCTAATGTAAACACTTTACTCTCTGGCATTGGGAACTCTGTGTAACCATCATCTACAGGACTTCTGGAAATGCGCTGATGGAAGCTGAATGTCTCTCTGAAATGTGAAGGCTCTGGTTGACCTAAAATAAGAAATAATATATTTATATTAGATATAATATTCATGCTCACACTGAGCAGCGGGTACAAAGCTAAAGACATAGACAGAGATTTGGCAATAAAACAAACTCCTGATCCTGCATGCTTGACACAGTATATGTTAGTGATTGCGTATCTCCCATATTGTGCAGGCAAATGGGAAAAGTTTGGAAACTTTATGACATTCATCAAATATTCACCAAAACATGCATTAGCATAAAATAGTAATAAAGTATAATAAAGATAGTTTGTGCATTAAAGTAAGAAGATTGGATAGCTTTTAGACTTTGGTATGTAAGATTCACAGGACGATATAGAAAATAAAGATATGACTTGCAGCCTGTACCTACAGGCATTAGAAAACCTACCTTTGGGTGCCTTGGTGAGGGGGTATATATCTGTTATGTAATCGTCAGGACAGATTAACTTATGTTTCCTCAGAATATTGCTGTCTACGCACCATCTAAAATATGAGTCCACTAGAGGACAGAAAACACAAGTCACCAAGAGTGAACTTTCACATTTATTTAGCATACACAGAATGGGTCTAGATTAAAGTATCTGGATAAATATATAGCAATGTATTTACCGCTCCTGTAACCCCCAACGTTTTAGCACCCCTTTATTTATTTTATTTATGTTTTTTAATTTCGATTCTCGAGAAGATGTAATATCTGTTGTATAACTAACATTGCATCCATGAATATAGAATGTCAGCTGTAGCTTACCATCACATATTATAGTAAACATACATGCATATTAGAGGTAATACATGCACATATTAGTTCATCTATATACACAAACACACACGTAAACGGTTATTTTTTAGTTGAGATTGTGTGACTTGTGTCTGTTGATATGCTGCTACGTCTGCATTATGTTTGCTGTGTTCTGCGGACTCTGCCACTGTGACAGTGCTCCATCTAGCCATTTCACTCATTAACTGTCTGCGAATGTAACCTTAGCAGACAACGTCCACCACTGATGGTATATAAAACCAGTCTAATGAGTCAGTTATTCACAATGTAGCCATCTTACCAGGGGGTAAACCTAGAGTTTGGAATCTCTCCCCAGCATCATTCTTTACTTCTCTAAGAATCCTTTCTTCTTCCGCGGCAGCTCGAGCTCGAGCCTCGATGATGTGTCTTTCCACCATGTCAGCCTCTGCCATTTGGTGCTCGTATTCAGTTCGAATCTAGATGAGCAAATGTTATATCTAATACAAAGTATTACTCTATAGTCATACAGTTTAATGAGAGGACCTTTCACAGTGGGCTTCATGTTGACAATATGTCAGTCATTGTTATAAGCTCGATTCTTTGCACCTGGCAGTCAGAATAGAGATACAGAGTAGAGGAGACATGAGACAATGTTTCCATGTCTCTTCCTAATTAGCAACGTGTGCCTGGCTGTGCCAGGACTGGACTGGACTGCTGTGACATTTGTTAGGTTCTAGGTGATTTTCATTGTTTTAGTCAGTTATGTTGATTTGTAGACAAATAACGACTTTCCTTTACCTCCTATGTGAAGAATCTCCTTGGGCTTGAGGATGTGATGCCTACCTGTTGCAGGTCCTCTACAAACTTCTTGTGGTAAGGATTGTCTCCTCCTCCGCTTCGTATCAAGTTCGCTCCTGTATCTTTCCCAATTACTTCGCCAGTGTACAGGTCTTTGAAGAGACTCGTTAGTAAATGTGAAATGTCCTGGAATAAAAAATAAAAAATAAAAATACGTGAGAAAACAGTGCTACTAGGGATTATTCTCGAGGAAATATCAATGTCATTTCAGTACTGTTCCAAATCCCACAGTCCACCAGTTCCAGCACCCTCGTCTACATAATTTTAGGTATCAGACAGGGAAAATTCAAGCCTCACTACCCACAAAATTAAACGTATTACGAGCATGAATCAAGCACAGTTTATACAAACAGTACTCAATGTATTCTAGGTGTACAAACTAATTGAGAACATCTATGTTACTGAGCTAAAACAAATGTGCTCATATTTCACAGCCACTTTTGCCCATTTACACAAAATATGGAGTTTATTCTCTTATGAATATGTATACAGGATTGTTCACTAAAGTGAAAATTCTAAGTGAATTCAAAGACAACTTCAAATTTAAGGCCAAAGTTGCTGAACTGGGAGCATGGCTGACTTTTTCCAATTCAGCTATTTTGGTCTTAAATTTTAAAAACTCTGATGTACTTTAATTGGCAAAGGAGAGCACAGTATTTAAATTGTGGTAAATACCATGATAGTAAGATATTACAAACCAAATGGCCTTCTAGAACTATTAGCACTATGTAGAAACTTAGAATCCTTAGGGGGAAAAAAAAACGTAGAAACTTAGAAAACTTATATTTGGTATCGCAGTGATAGATTGAGATTGAGACACTATTACATTTCAGTAAATAAAAACGATAACATTCTTCAGACTTCACAACTTAAGTGAGATAGCTGAAGTGGATGCATGTCCTTTAAAGCTGATAGGAAGATAGGTTCTTTAAATTATAAATAGGGCAGGGAATTTTGTAGAAGGGTAATTAAAAAATTTAAAAGTGCGGTAAAATTTATAAAAATGGAGCAAATTGAAAGATCACGCTGGAAATTATCTTGGAAACCAAGAAGATCACGGTGGAAGCTCATTTTTTCTGCACACAATGCTCTTCAGAATCTCCACCAGTCGTATATGCCACAAGCTCTACTTTCATTTTATTTTATACAATAGCATATGGTTTGTGTATAGTCTGAAACACACAGGGGACTATTTCTATGGCATTAATTCTAAGACATTGTACAAAACCAGAGAAAAGGAAGCCTGCATACAGAGTAGTGCATCTCAAAGATGAGTAAAACCTTTCTGATAACCGCACTACTGTATGAGAATCTATCCAGATTTTCCACATTGCCAGTTACCTGTGTCCTTTCAGAAGACGGCTTTGGCCAGTAAGTTGCTGGGTCTGATGACAAGGTGACAGATTTTTGAAGCAGCTCATCTGTAGACATTTTCCCCTTTTTGTCTGATCTTTGCCAATTCTGCAGAAGGAATTTTAGAAAAATAAACTCATATGTCTACTGGTAACTAAAAATGTTATATTATCTTGTGGGGGAAAATGAGGGAGGAAAATAAACATGGTTGGGGAGATAGAGAGGAAATGTGGCAGGAGATGGAATATAGGGGGAAATGTGGTTAAGTATTTAGTAGGAAATGTAGCGATGAGTTAAACATAGCTGGAGAGATAGTGAGGAAATGTGGAGGGAGTAGGAAACATTGCTGGAGAAATAGAGAGGAAACGTGGTGGGGAGATAGTGAGGAAATGTCAAAGATCCAGGAACTGTGACTGGGAAGGGAGAGAAGAAGGCAAAATTGGATGGGAGGCAGTGTGAAAATGTGAAATGTGTCAGGGAGGAAATGTAGAAGAACATTTTGCTTGGGGATCTGAGGGAGGAAATATAGCTGGGGAGAGAGTGGGGCTCTGTAGCTGGGGAGAGAGTGGAGTAAATGTAGCTGGAGAGGGAGTGAGGATCTGTAGCTGGGGAGAGCGTGAGGATCTGTAGCTGGGGAGAGCGTGAGGATCTGTAGCTGGGGAGAGAGTTAAAGAGTTTGTGGTTAGGGAGGGAGTGAAGATCTATAGCTGGGGAGAGAGTGAAGGAGTAAATGTGGCTGGGGAAGGAGTGAGGATATGTAGCGGAGAAGATTGAGTGAAGAAATGAAGCGGAGTGAATGAGGGTAAAAATATGATTTAGGAATTTGATTTTAATATAATTTGGCTGAGAAAGATGAGAAAGTGAATGTTGCTGAGGTTGAGTGAAGTGAGAAATTTGGCTGGGGAAGAAATGAAGGGGTAAAGGTAAATAGAAAGAGGAAAAGAAATTGGGGAGTGTCAGGAATATTTGGGGATCCTACATGCATAGTGTAAAAGAATAGTAACATATACCGGACCTTAGACTGGCCAGACTAACGTCACAAGGACAGAGAATCTGCCTACCTACCTACCTACCTACCTACCTACATACACTATACAGCTACTTACATACACATCTACCTACCTACATACACTATACACCTACCTACACACACTATACACCTACCTACATACACTATACGGAAACAAGCCGAGGTCAGGGATGCCAGAAATCAGGAACAACGAGAGTACAAGAGCCACAGTCAGGTAGAATAGTCAAACAATGCCAAAAGTCAAAATCCGAGAGAACCATGCAAAGACAACGCGCTACTATGAAGAACCACAACAGGGCAATGAGACTTTCCCTGGGATCCCCTTAAATATGTGTTCCTTGATTTATAGCCACGCCGCCAAAACGTTAGAATTCAAAAATTTGGGCGGGCCGTGACGTCATAAGTATCATGACGGCGAAGCGCATGTGCTATCGCGGCCGGGGTGAGAACCTCTGGGAACAAGTGGAGAACTGTTGGATATGTCCCCAATCCCCTGCAAGATGGTGCCAGCTTGTGGTACAGCCTGAGCCAACACACAGGGTACCCTGACAGGGAGATTGAGATAGATATATAGAGATATATTTAGAGTGGAGATTGTATTTAAAATAACAGATGAAATCCGTATCTTGCTAAATCTTTTTTATTGGACAGAATTTTAGAAATGACAAGCTTTCGGGAGAACCTCTCCTTCTCAAATATAAAGCATTTCTGAGCAAAAAAAATGACACATTCAACTTTGAATTTATATATCTTGAATCTACCCTCTGTACTGCACAGCATACAATGTTGGTGCTTTGTAAGTAAAGTAATAATAACAACAGTTATTAAAAGACATCAACATAAGCACTTACAAATATAACACATAACTAGATTTGTATAAACATATAATAAACATTCAAATATAGATATAGCACAGATAACTCTATAAATGTATAAACAGAAAACATGCTGTCAGAGCACGGTGCATGTATTGTAAGCGACTACATATGTGTAGGTAGGTGAGTATATATGTGTGTATGTGGGTGGGTAGGTATATATGTGTGTATGTAGGTGGGTAGGTATATATTTTTGAATGTGGGTGGGTATATATTTGTGTATGTAGGTAGGTAGTTATTTGTATATGTGAGTAGGTAGGTAAATATGTGTGTATCTGGGTAGGTAGGTAGGTATATATGTGTGTATGTGGGAAAATAGGTATATGTATGTAGGTAGGTATATGTGTGTATGGAGGTAGGTATATGTATGTAGGTAGGAATATGTGTGTATGTAGGTAGGTAGGTATATGTGTAGGTAGGTGTATGTAGGTAGGTAGGTAGGTGTATAGTGTGTGTAGGTAGGTGTATAGTGTAGGTAGGTAGGTAGGTGTATAGTGTGTGTAGGTAGGTGTATAGTGTATGTAGGTAGGTGTATAGTGTATGTAGGTAGGTAGATGTGTATGTAGGTAGGTGTATAGTGTATGTAGGTAGGTGTATAGTGTGTGTAGGTAGGTGTATAGTGTATGTAGGTAGGTAGATGTGTATGTAAGTAGGTGTATAGTGTATGTAGGTAGATAGATGTGTATGTAGGTAGGTAGGTAGATGTGTATGTAGGTAGGTAGGCAGATGTGTATGTAGATAGATGTGTATGTAGGTAGGTGTATAGTGTAGGTAGGTAGGTGTATAGTGTATGTAGGTAGGTGTATAGTGTATGTAGGTAGGTAGGTAGATGTGTATGTAGGTAGATGTGTATGTAGGTAGGTGTATAGTGTATGTAGGTAGGTAGATGTGTATGTAGGTAGGTGTATGTGTGTAGGTAGGTGTATGTGTGTAGGTAGGTGTATAGTGTATGTAGGTAGGTGTATGTGTGTAGGTAGGTGTATGTGTGTGTGTAGGTAGGTGTATGTGTGTAGGTGGGTGTATAGTGTATGTAGGTGTATAGTGTATGTAGGTAGGTGTATAGTGTATGTAGGTAGGTGTATAGTGTATGTAGGTAGGTGTATGTGTGTAGGTAGGTGTATAGTGTATGTAGGTAGGTGTATGTGTGTAGGTAGGTGTATGTGTGTAGGTAGGTGTATAGTGTATGTAGGTGTATAGTGTATGTAGGTAGGTGTATAGTGTATGTAGGTAGGTGTATAGTGTATGTAGGTAGGTGTATGTGTGTAGGTAGGTGTATAGTGTATGTAGGTAGGTGTATGTGTGTAGGTAGGTGTATGTGTGTAGTAGGTGTATAGTGTATGTAGGTAGGTGTATGTGTGTAGGTAGGTGTATAGTGTATGTAGGTAGGTGTATGTGTGTAGGTAGGTGTATGTGTGTAGGTAGGTGTATAGTGTATGTAGGTGTATAGTGTATGTAGGTAGGTGTATGTGTGTAGGTAGGTGTATAGTGTATGTAGGTAGGTGTATGTGTGTAGGTAGGTGTATAGTGTATGTAGGTAGGTGTATGTGTGTAGGTAGGTGTATGTGCCATGCATGTTCCTGTGACTGTCCATACCAGCAATGACTGTCTTGGTTACACACATTTCCTATGGCAGCCCTGAGCGCCCCAGATGTCAGCCCTGGCCATGCAGGATACTCCCCCTCCCCCCTGTCTCCCCCATGTTATAACGGTCCGGTCCCCGTTTTATGAGGAGCCCTCGGTTCTCCCAGGGTTACTCACAATGTCTACCGCACTTCTTGACGTGGAAGGATACAGCAGAAAGTTACGTTAGTTCGGCGTCTCTGGGTTGCTATAGCGACCACCAGGGACGAGCAGGTTCTTTTAGCCGCTGCCTGGTAGAAGGGCAGCCGCAGCACTTGCTGGATTCATCCGCCTGGTCACGTGGGAGCTGTAATACCCCAATGGGGGTTAATAACCAGCTAAAGCCTGCAGTGGGCATCTCAATGCAGACTAATCACTGACACTCACTATAATGATATAAATAAAATGGATGTTTACAAAGCATGTCATGGCCAGTCATATGTTACTATAACAGAGCTCCAGCTCCATTATTACACTCAGGAGCTCTGCTATATTCTGAAAACTTTTATTATGATTATTCACATCTTACACCAGATCAGTCTAATTACATCACCAGCAGAAATTAATAATAATAAATAAAATACCGTATTCTGTTATACGTCGCTGTGAGAAATGTCAGCGCTTTATAAATAGTAATAATCCTGATATTCTGAAAACTCAAGGGGATATAAATCAGGTTTTATTTCCTCACGGTAAAAGTGAGTCAGGTTATATGATTGTTGGTTTATGAAATTGTACCAAAAACTCACAGTTTAGTGAATAGATCCCTCACTTTGCTTTGTTTATTTATGTTTATTTATGTTTGTTTATTTGCTAACGAGTAATAGAAAATATATACAAAAATATAACTACGGTAACAGGTTCATTCATCAAAGTCTAAATGCTCCTGGTCAGGATTATCAAAAATATATCCTGCAAACATCATGTGGCATGAGGACTGTGAAATCTGGCCATTACTCACAAGATTTATTATGTCTGGATATTGCGATACTTTCCACAAATTACAGAGAAATTAGACCTCAATTATCGAATTCAACAGAATTTGCTGTTGTCGGTTTGAAAATTCTGTTTGGTTTAAGAAGATAATGTCCGATTCAATACATTTTATCATTAAAAATCTGTAAATATAATTTTATGAATAATTCCATTTTAGAGAGAGTTAACCCAGTATAGGGGTCCAATATATCTGGATGGTAGAATTTATTGAGTTAATTATGTTATTTATTTTGTTACAATTTTTATTATTTCAATTTTTGTTTTATTTTGAAGCAGCTCTGCTACTAGATAGTGCCCACCAGTTTGACCAGGTTGTCCTCCTCTGCCATTTTAAAGATCCTAAGATGGCAGCACCCATAAATAATATCTTCTGTCATTTCCTGGTAGTGTGTGTGAAATCACGTGCATGTCCAGAGGATCTGACAGCTTCCACTGGCCTCAATGTTGACTCTTGCAATTTTCTGAGAGTCAACGATGAGGATCAATGACGCGTTGTCATCCATTTTTTTCCACAATTGGGAAAAGATTACTACAGTATCCTCAGTTTTGGGACGTCT